GAGAAGGGTTGGTGATTACCGTCGTCCGGCCTACACGTCGCGATGCCTGTGTCTTGGCGCTCATGCAGGAAAAAGTGCTGGGTGCGATCGTGGACGCGAAAGCTGGATTGAGGGCTGAGAAGAGGATGGAGAAAGAGAAGCTCGCCAACATCAGGGCGGCGGGCCTCACGGAGAAGCAGAACGCCGAAAGGCGCGGGGCCGGCTCGACATCATTCGGGGCGGCCCACGCCAGCGACGAACGCACGCGTGCCAAAATTCNTTCTTCAACGCGAGCTCTCAACGGCGGGTAGCCAGCGGGCAAGCGAGGGGGGAGGGGCTGCAAGGAAGTTGCCCCCGCTCGGCGCGGACATCCAAAAGAAGCTCAGCGCGCAAAATGAGGTTGATCTGGCCTACATCACAGGAGCGACGACGGAGCAGGTGGACCTCGTCCCCACCAAGGGATTTACTCAAGAACAACTTCCTTTGGAGACCGCGGTCTGTATCCTCGAGCAGGCGGTCGGTAACAGGCTGCGAGCCCCATGGGGAAACCTATCGCTGCAGGATTTCAGCGTTGTTAAGGGAGCCGGCTTCGAAATCGGTGGTTTTGACGCGTAGACTATATGGTGAAGGAGTTGTGTGATAAGTACGGCGCCGACTATCAGTTGTTGGAGAAGCAGAACGCCGAAAGGCGTTGCGCACCAGGGGCCGGCTCGACATCATTCGGGGGGGCCCACGCCAGCGAAGAACGCGCGCGTGCCAAAGTTCTTCAACGCGAGCTCTCAACGGCGGGTAGCCAGCGGGCAAGCGAGGGGGGAGGGGCTGCAAGGAAGTTGCCCCCGCTCGGCGCGGACATCCAAAAGAAGCTCAGCGCGCAAAATGAGGTTGATCTGGCCTACATCACAGGAGCGACGACGGAGCAGGTGGACCTCGTCCCCACCAAGGGATTTACTCAAGAACAACTTCCTTTGGAGACCGCGGTCTGTATCCTCGAGCAGGCGGTCGGTAACAGGCTGCGAGCCCCATGGGGAAACCTATCGCTGCAGGATTTCAGCGTTGTTAAGGGAGCCGGCTTCGAAATCAGTGGTTTTGACGCGTATATGGTGAAGGAGTTGTGTGATAAGTACGGCGCCGACTATCAGCTGTTCATGGCGTGTGATCGCGTCTCCGTGTACACCGACGGGTGGACAGTAGGGGATACTGGGTGTCCAACGGAGGAGGAGTTAGACGGGCTATCTGAGAAGCTGGCCACCCTGCTTGTGTACGGCACCGTGAAACCCAACAATGGCACCTCACCGGAGCATCCAAGCAGCGCCAGCAGCAGCGGCAGCAGTGACGTGTTTGACTTGTCGGGCGATGGACAAGCCGGCGGAGGTGGGAAGCGTGCCCCGAAGAGCAGCAGGAAGACACGGAACACGACCAACCGTGCGAGCGAGGATGGCCTTCTGCAGTAAGTATGGACGAGGACTGTCTTTGTGGGATGTCAGTGATTTCAGTAAATGACTGATGAGACATGATTTTTGCAACTGTTTTTCAGCACATGTCCTGGGGTCGGGACACGGCCTTTGAACTCCCACGTTGGCTTTCGTGTTGGCATGAGGTGAACGTAAATTACGAATCGACTTGAACGGCAGTTGGATGGTCGCTTGGTTGGCACCCAAGCTCGATGCAAGCTCGATGACGTCTGAATTGTCGGTACTTGTACGTTGAGCTAGCTGTGCCTCTTCACACCGACTAACAGTTGTCTCGTATGTGCCTCTCTCGTCTGTCCCTCTCCGCCTGTTGTCTTGACTGAACCCCGCAGGATGATGAGGGAGGCGTCGCAGAAGCAGGATAATGCTTTTGAGCTCCAGTTGCAGCGGGAAGAGTTCAAGAACCGTAGGCGTTCGGACGAGAAGAAGGAGGCTGCGCAAGTGCGCAAGGAGGACAGGGACTTTGCCGAGCAGCAGCGTAAGGAGGAGAGGGAGAGGGAGAGGGAACTCCGCCAAGAGCAGTGGGACCGGGAGAGGAAGGCGCGGAAGGACGAGCGGGACGACGAGAGGCGGGAGCGGCAGGACCTACAGGACTTCGAACTAAAGAAGTTGAAGATGCAGCTGGAGCTAGCGCAGTACCAGGCACAGCTAGAGAAGCACCAGGCAGACTCTTAAGGTCCGGAGACGGTTGCTGTGGGGTGTGGGGGGAGAGGAGAGGTGGGTGGATTTTTTTCGGGAGAGGGAAGTGGGGGTGCTGTTACACGGTGCACGCATGCCTCGTATTTTTTGGTTGGTT